ACCATTTTGAATCTTATCTGAAAAATAAAATTATTTGCATCAAGATCCCATAATGTCTAATGTATATACCAAGTTTGAACAAAATCCATCTGTAAATAGCCGAGAGATGCTTGATTTTTAGGATTTTTTAACACAAAAATGGCCGCCATTCGGCCATCTTGAATCAGATTGTAAAACAAAATGATGTGCATCAAGGTCCTATAATGTCTAATGTAAATACCAAGTTTGAACAAAATCCATCTGTAAACAGCCGAGAAATGCTTGATTTTGATGATTTTTAGCACAAAAATGGCCGCCATTCGGCCATCTTAAATCAGATCGTGAAACAAATTGACGTGCATATGTATAATATCATGTATGATGTATGTGTGAAGTTTGATTGTGATTGGTCCAGGCATTTCTAAGATACAGATACTGCGTCCGAATGGGGACTAATTATTAATGCAATAATTGACTAATTAATATGCATGGATTTGCACCAAAATCTAATCAGCGCATCTACTCATCATATATTAGCTGTGTGCCAAATTTCATTTTAATTGAAATTGTAGATCTTGAGTTATCAGTGGAACAAATTTTAGTCACAGAGTCACAGAGTAACACAGTCACAGTCACACCGGTACCACATAAGCTCCGTTTCACGGGAGCTAACAATTGACCTCATGGTTTAAATAGCGGTTTGTCAAACTAAAAAAAGGTCTTTGATATGCAACTTCTTGGTAAACATGCACGTATATTTGCAGACATACATGTAATATCAATGGAATCATTTTGAAAGGATATTTGCAGAGACTGGAAGATATAGCAGGTCAGTTTCTGTGATGATTTCTAAATGGTGTCCAATAGAGCCCTGACCATTACCTCCTTCCACACCAACAGCAATAGCATACAATTCCAACTCTAACACAGCTTTCATGCCAGCGGCAACCTGAAACAAAATATCACAAATATCTAAAATATCTTACTTCAAAACAGACTTCCTGGAAATAAAAAAATGAACACATCAAGTTTGTTTGACACACACTTAATGCAACACATAGAAAATAGTAGTAGGTAATCTTTGGTAATTATTCAATATAACCAGATGTTTGACCCTCCAATGAAACACTGATGCCTATCTAAAATGATAACATAGATTGATGAACAGCACCAGTCTCATCTTGAGCATTTAGCAACTTAGCTTATTTAGATCTGTAAGATCTGAATACATCATGAAGAACAATATAACATGCATAGCGACTAGAATATTTGCTCATTAGATGGTCAACATTTGCTCAAAGTTTGAATATAATTTCTTCCTTTATGAGCCTAAGTTTGTCTTTGTTGCTGCCAGAGGACTTGATATGCCTGCAGTATGGTTGCACATTGTCAACACGTTACATAACTTAACAACTAGAAGATCTTTGATTGATTGCTACTTACAGGAGCTGGTTTATAGATGACACGTAATCCAGTAGATGGAGGTGCTTGTTTAATTTTATATCTACAACTATCAATACCAACATTCTTGAGATGTACATTGACTGCATACGTACATCCCTCTTTGACTGTACCAAAGTCAACTTCTTGAGGAAAGATTTCAAAGCCACGCATTGAAGGTACATGTGGAGCTCCACCAGCTACAGATGAGGTCTTAACTTTACGACGCACAGGATCCTCTAGTTCATAAAACTGTCCATAAGATAAAATAATTAAGCCATAAGTATTTATGTATACACTATGCATTTGGGTTGATTCTGGTATATAGACCATACAGGCAGCATGATTACATGTTATTATTATACATCTGTCACAGTAACGCCATAAGTTACAGCATGCTGTAATTTGCGGGGTATTTTCATTCAACCATATAAGGAAATGCGAATTCCACGGCCGTCTAATAATAGAAAAAAAATATGGCTGCCACCAGGGTTTGTCCGGACTCTAAACAAAGAAGTTTGTGGATTCTTTTTGGATTTCGGCATTCCCATGATGTATCCTTGGATTTAAAAGATGTATAATAATAAGAGCACAGTGAGAGTATCATCTAACGTGCAGCGGAGGTTGATGCAAAAGCGTACTGTCTGAGTACATACTTTGAGGTATCCTTGTATAAATGAACCCAAGTTTTATTTTTATTTCTAAAACAGTCACTCAATCTACTCAATTGAGTAGTACATATATATCTCTGAGCAAGCAAGAAGATTATATTTTGTCAAGTAATTTGGGAAATAAGTTTTTTGTTCAATTTGAAGAATGCACCTACAAATTGTAATAATAAATGTCCTTACTCTTTGATTCAGCAATGCTCCAGGTTTACTACCTAGAATGGCTGCCGGCAAACGTACTTGTTGGCTTCTTGGTTCACCAATTACATTGGTCGTTAAACTACGTGTTAAAACAATATCACTTTGAGCTGATGGTACAACATTCCCTTCTGGTTTCTCACTCTCCTCTGCACAACACAAAAAACAAAGATAGGTTAGAAATATAGTAATGATTTTAGCTTTATTTTGTATTTACAACATTTGTATTATCTTGTTTTGGGAAAGCAAGTAAAGCAATCATTAACATTATAACTACCTGATCGTTGAGTATCTGGTTCTGTCTGTTCTGGTATGGTAGAAGGAGGGTAATTTGGTAGGGATGTATAACTAGATGGTGTTTCACTTGGTATACGTGAATACCCACCTCCTATCATCTCCATAGCTGAAGGTGTTGGGTGTCCAGGTCGCACTGTACCAGGATTAGAAGCTCTACCAGGTGTAGGATTAGTGGGTCTAACCGGGGTAGGGCTACCCTGACCCTTTGCTTTAGCTGGTGTTGGATTGGTTGGTCGTAGATCTGGTGTAAGTCCTGTAGTTGCAACACCTGGAACAAAATCAAACAATAACTTATACATAAAAGTTGCACTCTGACAAGATCTTCTATGTAAAATAGATCCCTAATATTTCCTATATTTATTTAATAAGAAATCTTCCCAAATCCACTGTAAAACATTGTGAGTGAGTCATAATAGTTTTACAAGTAATACAATCAACATCGTTATCCAAACAACAAATCTGCACCTGTTTACTGTGAATATTATATAATCACGTTTTGGTCCAACATATAACGTAAGTCATCTTGATTTCAAAATTATACTACAAGAAATCAAAACTGCACAGAATACATAATAACAATAAAAACAAATACATCACTCACACTAAACCATAATCATAAGTACAGAATGATATTGTCAATAAATCATGCAGTCTAATTCTTTGATACAAAATCTATGCTTGGGAAAAAAGAATATTTCATTGTATTGTAAAAAAGAAAACAGATCTATACAACATTCATTAAACAATGGAGTTTCCATGCTTACCTTGTGGCAATGGAGATGGAGAATTTTTCTGTGGACTTGTACTGTCAACATCACTTGGCTGAGACGATTCTGAGGCTGACAATTAATAAACTAATTAGAATCATTGAAACACACATCAAGAAATACTGGGTAAATAGCCTGATGAAAGTCTGCACAGTTAGCTAATATGAATACTATATAACAGTGTCAGCAATCGATGTGTTAAGTACAGTACTAGGTCAGTTTTTTGTCATCAAGGATGGTACCAACCTTGGGGTGGTGATTCTGTTGTTGTTGAAGCATCATACTGTTTGTTATCTAGTGGTTCACCTTTCCTGGTTTGTACAGCAAGCTCTTTAGTTAATCTATCCATGTCAGATGACACTTTCATCATCAGAAAACTTTTGCCCCATTCACTTTCAAAATAAGGCGGTACTGCGTAATTTTTCAAGGCATTTCTGTTCTTCTTCTCTTCTTCCAATTGTTGCCTATAGAATGTTAGTATGCATTTATAATAAGTAATGAAAGGGTTCCAATATAAATTTATAATCACATATTTAGTTCTTTTCTTACTCAGGAAAAAACAAGTGACATATTTGATGATATGAATACATGTGACTTGCAGAAAATATGTACTAAATAACACATATTCAACAATTTCAGTGTGTGCCAATGATGTTTTGGCTTCCTGTATGATGTTCTTTCAGAATTTATAGAACACATGGTAACAAGGATTTACAAAGTTTCATAATTCCTGTATTACTGTGGGTCATTAGGAACAAGAGAGATTCCAGGATACTCCTCAAATCATGTATATTCATTTCATCAATGATGTCACACATTCTGATAATTAAAACTAAAAGTATCATCTTTGAGTAAAACTCAGTGGATGACATTTTAATTTTATTTTTGTAGATGTGCCACATCTCAACCTTAGATGTCTTAGTATATGAATAGGTCAATATATAATACAAATATCAAGTTCTAACAATCCATTGTAAGTAAGTAGTTCAGCCCATGGAAAAATGAATACATAAAAACATTACATAGAGTTGGAGGAATATTATACAATACCTGTCTTTTTCCCAGTCTGCTTGTGTTCTTCTAGGTTTGGGAGGTGGTGGTGTTGGAATCCTGGGTGGTGCAGTAGCTGCTTCATATATAGCCTTGATATCATCTGACTGCATTAGATCCCTAGGTTTGTAGTCCCACTGACCAGACCTTTCATCTTGTTGTTGGGCATCACATCTTCCACCTCTTGGATCACCTTGTGTTTCAATCACCACATTCTCTTGTTGGAAAACGTATCTTCCTGATCTGGGATCACCACCAATTTCACTTTCAGGTTCCTTTGGTTGAGTGAATACATATTTCCCTTCCCGTGGATCACCACTTATTACTGGACCTTTAGTTTCCATGGGAACATCAGGTTTAAACACGTATCTACCTGATCTTGGATCTCCAGTTATTTCACCATCAGCTTGAATCGGTGGTTCTTTAGCCATCTTAGCCTCAACAGCTGCCTGTAATGCCAGCAAATCAAATAATTCAAAGTTGCGGCTTAGTGACGTCACATGCACTGTTTACATTTTTTTTATCGTGATGAAAGAAGCTCGAGGCAGAAATATGTGCGAGAATGCCACAACTTTTCGTTTAAATTTGTACTTTTAAATGAAATATCGCCAAACAACCACACAAAGTTGTCAATGGAATAATAAACACATGTATGCCTAACACCAAAGCATTGGAAATAGTGGTTAGTTGAAATTCAATTTTTAACCAAAAATGACAAAAATATTTGCCAAAATTATAGAATTAAAGATATGGCCATGGGATGAACAAATCTAGTAGATGTCAACACAAGATACATACACACCAAGTATCAAAGCATTCAGGCTACCGGTTTTGAAGAAGAAGTAGAAAATAGATTTTTTGACTAAAAGTGATCATTTTAAAATATTCGCCAAAATTAGGAAATTGAAAATTTCCTTACTAAATTAACAAAACTGATAGAGGACAACCCAAGGCACATGCACAATCAATATCAGCACTGTAGACCACTTAGTGTCATAGTAGCATAGAAGAAATTTAGAGTTTTGGGGGGCTAATTTGCATAATTTTAGGCAGATCGACTTCTCATGAACAAATTACCATATACACTCATCAAGGCATTCACACACCAAAAATCAAGTCAAAGGGTTCGGCTTTTTTTGAGAAGTAGTCGTGCATGCGTGCACACACGCACGCACGCGCACACACACAGACAAACAGACATACACAGACACAGACACACACACACAGACCGACCGACCGACCGACCGACCGACCGAGACGACCGACACAGACAGAAACCCATCCCATAGGCTCAGCCGTTGAGCCAAAAATGAATCAAGTAACATTTTTTTGAAAGAGATACATTTATGAATGGGACATACCTTGAAAACATATGTATTTTTATGGACTATACAATATGCATTGTATGTATTGGTGATGCTGTAATATCAACCACAGGCTCATAGACTTGCAGATTACTCAGTCACCATGTTTTAAAATATAATTCAATTATGTTACAATTTAGAATGAAGAACTTTCAAAAGTCTTTTTTGGAATTGATGTGATTATGTATTATGTGACTGCCAGTGGATATTTTAACTCAGTTTTACTCCTTACACAAAATATTCAAAAGATGAAGTGAAAACATATACAAAACACTAACCTGAAGTTCTAAGTCAGTTGCTTGGACTTTTTCGGACTCACTTCTTGGATCTTGGACAGCTAAGCCCTCGGCATCTTGCTGACGTTTCATGGCATTAGTGGCATATGCTTTGAGGCCAGCTTGCATACGCTGTCTCAACTCACCACTTATTGGTTTATATTTAATCAACTGACGTAACTGTAAAATCTGTGGACACTCAAGAAGTGGGCCTCTTTCATATGGTTTACGAGCTGATCCAACAGCCAGACCTTTACCAACAGTTGTTCCAAATGCAGGACCAGGATCATTCATTTCATGCGCTGGCATAGTTTTAAAGTCTCTGGATCGTAAATTGGATGGTATGACATTATTCTCATCAAAACTGTTGAGCCATTTTTGACTGGCACCTCCACTCTCACATGGTTTTAAAATAGTAATTCCTGTAACCCCAGGGTAGTCAGGAAGGGAATCTTTAAGTATAGCAGTGGCTGGATCCTTGTCAGCTGCAGTCAAGTACTCAGCAATATCAGAGTGACGCAATAATTCACTCCCACTACCATCTTCATTGATAACAAAGAACCGTGGTGCATACTGAGAATATGTTTCAATCTTGGGTGCTTTCTCTTTGTTTTCACTGCCTTCTTCTTCAGCGTACAAATCATCCAGATTAAAAGCTTTATTGACCTCAGTTTTTCCAGTGGCTCTAACAGTAAATGAATTGCCATCAGCATCCATCATGTCAACAAGTGTTGGGTGATTGTGTCTCATTACATAAATACTAGGTTTCAGGTCAATTATGTCATTGTTAGGTTTGGGTGCATACACAATGGCACCATCTTTCTCTACACTCATCTCACCACCATCAGCATGAAGGAATTTATAAACACCATCTGGATTAGTCAGGAGACTGCTACCATTACCAAATATTGTTGTAGCCATTCCAGTCTCACGACTAAACACAACAGTAGCAAAACCAGCACACTCCACTTTCACATATTGCACTCTTTTGATTCGAGTAGCAAACTGTTCACCTGTTGAGTAAATAAATGAATACCTGTGTTACTAACCACCTCTATATAAAGATCACTTGCCTTTAGTGACCACTTTTAGGTAGTCCCAAAACAAAACATAGAAGCAACCGGTGTATAAAAACCACCTGTCTTAAGGTAGCGGGACTATTATTTGCATACTTGTTTTCATCTTCTAATTGTGACTAAATGACTACAAATAAACCCAGGAAAGTATATATTTTTAGAATCGCCAGACTTCAAGCTTTTCACAAGTGTATTTTGCATGCCCGTATCTGCATTCTACGACGTGTTACTCAACCAAAAGTGAAAAATTACTTTTTCTGTAAAAAAAATAATTACGCATTTATGCTGGCGATAAGAAGTATTTTTTTTCACTTTTCCTAGTTGTTCAATAGT